TGAACACAACGGGTAATTTAGCATGGGCAATCCACATCTTTCGACTGTGGGAGGAAAGCGGAGCACCCGGAGGAAACCCACACAGACACGGGGTGAATGTGCAAACTTCACACAGACAGTCACCCGAGGGTGTAATGGAACCCGGGTTCCTGACGCTGTGAGGCAGCAGTGCTAACCACTGAGCCACTGTGCCGCCCAGATTGATCAATGATTTGGAACTGGAGGCTAAATATAATATTTCCAAATATGGATACATGGAAGTTTAAGATAAAGGTGAAAGGAGGCTCCAGTGAAACATTGAACATAGAACATAGAACAGTACAGCACAGTACAGGCCCTTCAGCCCACGAAGTTTGTGCCGACCTATTATCCTACTCTAAGGTCAAACAACGCTGCATACCCTACATTTTACTACTATCCATGTGCCTATCCAAGAGTCGATTGAATGTCCCTAATGTATCTGACTCTACTACCACTGCCAGCAGCGCATTCCACGCACCCACCACTCTCTGTTTAAAGAACCTACCTCTGACATCCCCCCTACACCTTCTTCCAATCACCTTAAAATTATGCCCCCTCGTGATAGTCATTTCCGCCCTGGGAAAAAGTCTCTGGCTATCCACTCTATCTATGCCTTTCATCATCTTGTACACATCAACATTAAACATCAAGTGTTTAAATACCTCTTTCTATGCTGAAAAGTTCCATTTAACTTTATTTCATAAATAATGTTACAAATAAACATAAATCTGAATGAAAAGTTACAATTAAAGTGGCATTTTGTTCAAACAACATTTCAGCACAGGCCTCCAATTGTGGCAGATATGCGTACTGAAGACCTTATTTTCCTATAATATATAAAAGGTTTGCTGCCTTTTTACCAGAAAACACTGCATCAACAGTATTCAAATTATTTGCAATCTCGCCACATTAATGACTACACTTCAAACATACCTCACTGACAGTAAAATTGTTTGTAAAGTCCTGAAGAATTGAACGTGCTTTAGAAACATAAGTCTGCATTTCTTTAATCTTCATGCACTGACGTTAAAAGCAAAAATGGATATTGACAGCTGGTGCTCCGGTGAGCGTTGCTTTTTCTGATCTTAAATGTTGAGATAACTTCTGCCTCAAGCACTAATCCTGGGAGTGAATTTCACAGCCTCACAACCCTCTGTGTGACAAAGTTTCTCCTGCCCTCAGTTCTAAATCTGTTACATTTAATCTTATATCTATTGCCAATAGTTTTCAACCTTCAACTAATAAAGACAATCTGTTTGTATGTCTTGTCTCACCCATCATCATTTTAAAAACTTCAGTTAAGTTGATATGTCATCTGTGCAGATCTAATTGAAAAATTTCTTGCATGTCTATCTTGTACAGTGTTTATATTTCCTCATGCCAAGCAACATTCTCATGATAATAAACGCAAAGAACTGCAGATGGTGGAAATCTGAAACAAAAACAGAAAGTGCTGGAGGAACACAGCAGGTCTGGTAGCATCTGTCAGCACACTATCTTGCATTTATTTCTCTCTTGGTTTAACTGCAGCTATTTCTTTATTTGCCTATCCCTTTTCCCCATTCTCTCTGGGCTCCATCTCCATGTACTCTATTCACTCCTCCATTCTCACCAGCCCTTCCCCTCCCCCCCACACCACGCCACCCGACCCCATCATCAGCATAAATACCACCCTTTCCCAGCTATTTTCAATTCTGGCAAAGGGTCACTGGACATAAAACATTAACTCTATTTTTCTCTCGACAGATACTGCTAGAACTGCTGTGTTTCTCCAGCACTTTGTTTTTGTTTTATGATGTTCATGATGTTGCAGTGTATCCTTTTTAAATCTTCTTTATCCTTCAATAGCAGAAAGACATGTGTTCTCACTCTGTTCTAGCTGAAGTCTTGTCTAAATTTTGGGTAAGCATATCATTAAAACAAACCAACACCTCAACAACTTTCACTACTACAAATATTAACTAGCCCGTAATTATATAGGTGCTAACTCTGTCTTTTTTAAATATGGGAACAACATTGGCTATTTTCCACCAGATCACATCTATTCTCAGGACCCTGAAATGGGCTTTTTCGGACTTCTGTAATTCCTCCTTCACCTGGAATGATCAAATCTGGTTTGACACATTCTTGGAGATTTGATCACCGAGCATTTGATCTAATAACACAGCTCATGTGATATTTGACCACATGACACTTGTCTATAGTTTGTGAATGTTGCTGTATTTACAGATGTTGATTGATTTAATACATCCAACCCCTGAATAAAACAATGGATTTTGTTGTTCTCGTTCTTGTTTTGTAATAAGATGGGTAGTTTATACTTTTTATAAAAAATTACAATAAGCAAATGAAAACTTTTATGATGAAACCATCAAGAAAATACTTCTAATTCAACATAATCATCATCAGTATTGAAGTGCAAACTTGAGGTTTACAGGTATAATTTTGAAATATATTTGATGCTAGTTTGGGTCTGGTTTTTGAGATAGTAACCAATGGATTTTTCTGTGTGTCTGAAGTTAACAATGAACTTGTAGGTATTTCTGTAACCACTGCAATTTATTTTAAAACGGTGTAGGGGAGATGTCAGATGTAGGTTCTTCACACAGAGAGTGGTGGGCATGTGGAATGCCCTGCTGGCAGTGATAGTGGAGTCAGATACTTTAGCAACTTTTCAGCAACTCTTAGATA